GTCTTACACTGCTAAATTAGGGACGGCTAGCGCAGATAGCCCTCGTGTAGCTTTGCGCGAAATTCAAAAACAAACAAACAAAACTTTATACAGTATATTATATATAAATACGTTACATATAACATTTAATATTCTGTACTTAACTTTTACATTTTTTGCCTATGTTATGATGAAATGCATATTTACAATAAGTAACACGAGGTGTATCATCTAGATAATGTGTTTAAATATGACGCTTCAATAGCGCGTGTCTTTGTTAGTATTATATGAATTACGCGTGTTTAGAATTATCCAGAATTATACATCACAATAACGTAGTATTTTTGAATGGACATGTAATTTAAATGTGTTTAAATATTTTTTCCTATTACATGTGATATGGATAACATGTATTTAAGATATGACACTTGAGTAATGGTATTTAAAGAACATGTAGTCATAATTTAATATCTGAGTTGTAACATTTATATTGCACGTGCTTAAAATATAAGATTTTAACTTGTAACCTTTATATGACCCATGTAGAACATGACATGCCATTTATATTATATGAACGACACGTATTTATAATATGCTAGGTGAGTTAAATTATTAAAAGTGAGCTCTATGTTTCGAATATGTTTCCTAAGTCTTGATGACTGGATGACATATTATATTGGCTGTTAATTATTTAAACGTTTCGTTAAATGTTTGTTGGTTATTGAGTGTCGTGTTTGTTTCTTCTTTTTTTTTTTTCGAGACCATTCTCGAACATATTTGAAGAGATTTCTGCGTTCATATTCCATAAAATAATTAATGCTCCTGGGAGGTAATACAATGCTTAATGTGTCAGTAATGATATTTTTTGTTTGTTTGTTTTTTACTTTCCTGATACCCTATATGTGTTTGTTTCTAATTGTTTAAAGAGTTATATGCTTCCTCGTATGTGCTATTGATTATTAACGTGCGAGATACAAGAAATCAGGGACATAGATTCAGGTTTATCCTGTGTTATAGTTGGCGAGCCGGGTTCAAGTCCGTGCGATACAACAAAATATTCCCCGCACTTTGAGCTGTTGGTACGTTATAAGAGTGACAATTAACCTTTAAGCGTGAATTGTAGAATACTGCTGATACTGCTTTCCAATAGTATGATTTCTGGTCAGTTGTTCAAACTTACAGATGGCGGATTTGCCATAAATATACAAATTACAATACAATTTGCCATATATTTTGCCATAAATATACAAAATACAATACAATTTGCCATACATTTTGCCATAAATATACAAAATACAATACAATTTGCCATACATTTTGCCATAAATATACAAAATACAATACAATTTGCCATACATTTTGCCATAAATATACAAAATACAATACAATTTGCCATACATTTTGCCATAAATATACAAAATACAATACAATTTGCCATACATTTTGCCATAAATATACAAAATACAATACAATTTGCCATACATTTTGCCATAAATATACAAAATACAATACAATTTGCCATACATTTTGCTATAAATATACAAAATACAATACAATTTGCCATAAATACGATATGATACAATATAGATATAATGCAAGATTTCGTCGTGTGATCTCCAAAGTAGAACACGTTGTCTGTTTGTATATGGCATACATATTGAGAACGTGATTTAAACACAATAAGAGTTTTGACGACAAATTATACCCCATGTAAAACACTAATATAAAACAAAACAGTAGAAAGGTCAAAGTATTAAAAATATATCTTATATTTCATCCTTTTTTTCTTTGATGTTTGAACATTTCTGCATAGTCAAGATGGTCACCTTCTTCTTGACAAAACGGCGGCCTTTTTCAGCTTGTGTCAGAGTATATATAAGAAATCTGTTTGCTCTCGAAAGATTTTTTATGAACATGGTCAATAATTATAAACATTGTTGCCTTTATTTCTTTAAGATATAAATAGAGAGAAAATCTTGAAGCTATTTTAATAGACAGTGGGATTGTGAGGCTAGACTTAAGAAAAACATACGGATTGTACAGTGACTGAAACCTAGATTCCCACCATGATCCCATTAAGGGAATTTCAAATAACTTTATAGGATTTGCACTGGTGATAAATATTTTAAAGCTTCAATATTGCTAACTTGAATTATTGTCCTTCATAGAATGTTATTTTGAGCTTTGCTCCGAGTTCTAATAAGCATAGCTTTACTTAATTTACGCATATCAACATCATATCAACGTTTATAATTTTTAACCATTGTTCGGCATCATTTTCTCATATGTAGATAATAGCACAATGTACTTCTTTCGAATATAAAATAGTAAATTACGTTACATAAAAGGCGGTTATGGCACGAAAACGATTATGTAATTATGCTTAAAAACAATATTAGTAGAAATTGAACTAGATACAACTAAATAAAATGTATAATTATACATGTTTAAATATAAGTATATCTACCTCCATTCCCGGTTGCAGAATATTACATTAGAAGTTAACTTTATGTTAATTCAGATCTTGTTTTGTTCTTTTAAAGAAAAACGTAAAGTGGCACAACCTAAGCCAGATAATTTAATGTTGTTTATTATGTAGAAAACACGTACTGTGTAAGAAATAAAATAAATATTGTATCTCATCTATCTCTGGCTGAATATTTAGTTTTCGAGTAACACAAAAAAATAAGTTTTTTTTTTCTAATTCCATTAAGGAAACTAAAGTCCCTCAGAAGACTACTATTTTGAATTTAAGATATACACTCGTAATAAGCGGTTTTTAACACAAAATATAGGTCGTGGTATACACGTTATCGCAACCTGTATGTGGACGAAAGTTCCAAGGTTCGAGCCACAATATGCTGCTGAACACACACACACACCATGTTTTCATTTCTGGGTGTGTTATAAACAACCAACGGGTGCTGCTTATTGGTTTTCCTACCTTTATTTAGTAATTCTAAAATAGATATAGATATATCTGAACAACGTTAGAGGTTTAGTTCATGTTTAGCATAAGGTGCTGTTCAGGCTGAAAAGACCAAATAAAGATCCTAAATTTTATACACAGTAAAATGACAATATTTGTAAAGAATCAATTTCTTTAAAATCATTTATTTCTTTTGATGAGTGATTCTATAAAACCCAAAATATTCATAAGTTTTGATTTTAGAAAACATAGGAGATAATTTTTCCTGAGTATTAACTAAAATATTTATGTTTTATATTATATAAAATACTGACAGTAGGTAAATCATTCCGTTTTTGCTGGATGAGATAGGGTTTGTGTATCTGTGTTGTTGTTTTTTTCAAATTTACTCTCGCAGAATCAAATGAATTATTCTATTGTTTGTTTGTTTGTTTTTGAATTTCGCGCAAAGCTACACGAGGGCTATCTGCGCTAGCCGTCCCTAATTTAGCAGTGTAAGACTAGAGGGAAGGTAATTAGTCGTCACCACCCACCGCCAACTCTTGGGCTACTCTTTTATCAAATAATAGTGGGATTGACCGTAACATTATAACGCCCCCACGGCTGAAAGGGCGAGCATGTTTGGTGTGACATGGATTCGAACCCGCGACCCTCAGATTGCGAGTCGAGAATTATTCTAAGCGGAGAAATTCAGTTCATGTTCAGTTGTTACTCAGTTTATGGGCATGGCCAGATGGTTAGGGCGCTCGACTCGCAATCTGCGGGCCGCAGGTTCGAATCCCAGTCCCACCAAACATGCATGCC